CACTTGATATACAGTATATTTTCCAGGGAGGATGTTAATTTCATTCCTAAATACTTTAATTCTTTTTTCCACCATGCAAACAGAAATTCCTTTTGTAACACCTGCTCATCTTTCTGCATCACATTGGCATCTAAAATCTCTAATTTTGAGGGATTGCTGTTTAAATTTGATCGTTCTACATAATATTTTAATAGTTTTATTCATTTTGGTAATGTTAGTCTAGGATTGGAGATGTAGAACAAAATATCATCCGCCTGTGCCACCACCTTATGTTTCTCCTCTCCAATCCTCACTCCTCTTATATCCACGCTGTTCCAAATAGTAGCTGAAAGTGGTTCCAATAACAGCACAAATACCAGGGGTTAAAGAGGGCATCCCTGTCTTGTTCCATTTAATAATTCAAATGGTTGATAGAGTGCCATTGGCTTTCACTACTGCTGTAGGGTGTTTATATAAGGCCATTATCCATTGGATAATTTTTAGGCCAATTCCCAATGCCTCTAATGTGGCCACCACGAATCCCCAGTCTACCCTATCAAATGCTTTTGACAGGAATAGAACTGGGGACTCCTCTTTGCTGATTTTATGCAATAGGAGTAATGATCTCAACCCGTTATCGCTTCTCTCTCTTCCTGGGATAAACCCAACCTGGTCAGTGTATATTCTGCAAAAAATTCTGTAAATAAAGCTGTTGTTAAAGAAAAGAAAAAAAAGACCCCCTTCTCCAGTTTTTGACATTTTTGGGAGGTGTGGGTGATCTCCATGTGCCTCACTGCTGCCTTGTGCTTTTTCCTGGAAGTATGCCCTTGAAAAGGGCTGGAGTGCATTCTCAGGAGCAGTGTGACACCATCCTGGTCTCCTGGAAGTTAAAAACTAAGGCTGAGGTATTTCTTTTCTCTCTCTTTTTTTTTTTTTTTTTTAGCAAGAGCTTTATTTTGAGACTGCATCAATATGCATCAATTCAGAAACTTGAATTTTTTTTTGGAAGTTCAAGTGGAAGGGACATGGTGATTAGCAGACAGGAGAGATTGTGGGAGGAATGTTGTCACTCCATAACCCAAAGTGCCCAAAAGACTTTATATCTATGTTAGCAGCTTTTATTTTTGCAAAAGCTAATTGTTTCTCTTCCTCCTCTGCTTTCTTCAATCGACCAATTAAAATGTTAAAGTTAATATGAGAGTTTTCCACTTTGAGGCTACCCAGAGCAGGAACTTTCCTCTAGTTAATATGGGAGACATTTTAGCGCAAAGAGTTTGGACAAAGTGGGGCTCAGACCACTGGACTTGGGGTTGGATATAGTGTAGGGGTTTTTTTTTGCAGCTGAAGATGGCCTTCTCTGAGAGCACACTGGCTGCAGGGCAAATCAGAAGCTCCAGTGCCTATTGTGCAATGTTCAGTCTGTGGCTGAGTCTGTACACCTAATAGGTAAAAAATGGCAACCATACACCCAATATAAAAAAAAAGGTAAAACGAGCGCTGAATGAGGTAGTGAAAATAATACAAGCCGCTGGCATAAAAGGCAAAACCTCAAAAGGCCTCCTGATACTGTAACTAGCTAAAACATAAAATATGCAGCGCTAAACTAAATATAAACAAATACAATGTAAAAATAAAAATTCATAATATGCACATGAACAGTGAAGGGATTGGTACGAAAACCAATAGTGGAATTATGCTAAGGTATCATGAAAACAAAGCATAGTGCGTATAGTGACAATAGTGCCAAAGTCAATACATCAATAGATTTTTCAAGGTGACATGAGAAATCCGTGACATCTGTGGTATAAAGTGTGGCTGTTGATTGCACTAACCAGATAGCACAAATGATAGCGCATTGGAGTAAAATGACCTACTCCTGGTCATCAATTCAGCAAACTCCAGATACTCTGTGTCGTCTCCAGGTGTACCGTCGGTAGCCACCAGAGGGATATTCCACAATCGCACGTGTCAGGAATCACCTTCTATCATTGACCTCCAGGGGCATGTAATGCATTCTCGTGTTTCAGGAATCACCTTGGGGTCTGTCTGGAATTGGGTGGGATTAAAGAACCAGCAGTGTCCCTGATCCAGTGACCAGGAGTAGGTAATTTTACTCCAATGCGCTATCATTTGCGCTATCTGGTTAGTGCAATCAACAGCCACACTTTATACCACAGATGTCACGGATTTCATAATTCCACTATTGGTTTTCGTACCAATCCCTTCACTGTTCATGTGCATATTATGAATTTTTATTTTTACATTGTATTTGTTTATATTTAGTTTAGCGCTACATATTTTATGTTTTAGCTATACACCCAATATTGCTCATTACTGAGAGTGTCGGCACCCACCCTGAACTTAACGTAGTCAGCAATCATTTGGTTCAGCCTAGGCGCAGTGGTTTAAAAATCTCCTTTCAGGGACAATAGGATTTGAGGTAAATTTGTCATTAGAGGAAGAGGTTACATTAGCAATGTTCAGCTACCTCTATGTAGCAGCACCTCCAACTCACCCATTGGGACTTTGCCTCATCTTTTTTTTTTTTTGAATGGTCCTTATGTGGGGAAGAACGGGCAACCTATGATTGTAGGATCATATGTTTAATACTGCTTCCTCTCCTTCCTGCAGGCTGTGGAAATCCATTTGCATATGTCTGCCCTTCCTCTTGCAATATGAAAGGGCTGGCAGCCTATGGCCATAGGTTATGGCTATGCCTCCAGTGCCTGATTACAATGAAATGAATGAATCTAAAAAAATACAACTGGCTACAATGTGTCTGGGGGCAGTCATAATTACAGACGTGCCTGACCTCTTCTTTGTGCAGTCCAACCACACTGTCAATACCAAAAATACTGAAAAATTTGAAATAAGAAATAAATACATAAGAAAATAAAAACAAAATATAACATTTGTAAAAGAAAACAAAATATTTAGGTAGGAATCTGCAACTCAGGGCACCCCAGGCCAGGAAAAAATTCCACTAAATAATATAAGAGAGGGGTTGCAGTGCAAAGAGCTTGGACAAAGTGGGGCTCCAACCACTGGAAGTGGTTACAGTGTAACCTTGGAGATGCACTGCCCAGCCACTGTACACTGTTTGTAACTATTGTTTCTCAAATAATATAATAATAATAATACATAATAACAAATAAATTTGATTTCAAAGTAAAACCTGTCTCATCAGTCCCTCTTACATTGTACCTTAATCGAGCTGCTTACATGCTCTCTAGCCACTGACCAGTGAGTATTGTCTCTCTATAATAGCTCTAATTTTTATTGCAAGAATTTCATTTGTTGCAAATTCAAGTGCTCACATACTATCCTGAACCTGCCAATTTCTACCAAAACCAGAAGTTTGAATAATTTACAACTAATTGGTGATATGGGATTGACAAGGGTTTAGGGAGTTGTGATTTTAGGTGTTTTTGTGTGTTTCTTTTTTACATTTTGTTACATTTTTGGGACAATTCAGCATGGTACTATGAAAGATAAAGCTTATTCTATCAAACTGTTGTGCAACTGGCCACTTTCTGCAAAGCAGTTTTATTTTTCTAAGAGTAAACTTTCCTATAGCTTTTAGATCTGTCGAAGCTGCTACTTCCACCCATAGATTCAGGCCTATAACTGCTTGATAAAAATAAAAAAAACTACCTAAAAATTATTTTTAATTTCAAGATGAATTAATGAGATTGTAGTGTTCCTGCTATATTTAGGCCAAAGTAAAAATCAATTACAGTTACAAAAAAACACGATAGCAGAATAGTCGCTGATGTTGTCCATGAACATTTTACTCCGTAACACCACATGCATATCACATGCAGCTTACACACATCTCTGAAGCATGAAATTAAAAATACTTTCATGTCACCGAAGTCCCATTAAAAAGATCCTCCACCCACTTTACAGTATTCAATTTTTTTTGCTTGCTTGCTTAAATATCCTCACTTTTACAACAGCTTGCCTGTTTAAATTTCAGTGGGCCTAACAGCTAAGTTCAGGTTTCCTTGATTTCAAAGAATTCTTTTTCTCTGTGGTTTAAACTGAAGTGAATCGTGTGTTTTTTTCAACCAGATTAACTATGTAACTATGTGAATTGAACTTTCATAAATGTGCTCATCCCTATAGCCAATAATACTATAAAAAATGTACATGTATAGATAGGAAATAGCAAAACAACTGAGCAATTGAATTAATAAATAAATAATAAAATACGCCCAATTGGTCACACAGAGTTCTAGAAAATGTCTAATTTTCAAGATCTTAAAGTACCTTAAAGTCAAGCAATGATCAGCTAGTTAAATCATGATTTTTAACTGCAGCGCCATTTGCGGCTGTCGATCATAGGGTCCCAGCCGATGATTGCCGCGGATCTCTGATGGGGGGGAGAGAACTGTTAGTAAACAAAACAGTTCTCCTCCCTGTCAGCTCCTGTACACACTGCTTTGCGTGGCTGTGCACAGCACAGCCACGCAAAGCAGTGTGCTGACAGTGAAGCACAAACACAGAACATCAAGTAAAATGGCACAACAGCACACAATTACCCTTTGATCACCCCACATGTTAACCCCTTCATGCCTGGTGCCATTAGTACAGTGTCAGTGCTCTTTATTAGCACTGATCACTGTATTGGTGTCACTGGAGATGTCAGTGACACCAAGTCAGTTCCCCCCAGTGTCAGAATGCCCGCCGCAGTCCTGCAGTCCTGCTATAAGTCGCTGATCACTGCCATTACTAGTAAAAATAAATAAATAAGCCCAGTATATATACCACCATTTGTAAACACCTTAACTTTCATGTAAACAAATTAATTTACACGTATTGGGATTGAGGAAATTTGATTTTTAAAATTTTTTGTACTGGACATGTTTAACCACCTCCCGCCCGCCATATAGTCCAATGACAGGCGCAAGGTGGTTCTCTTGTTCTGGGAGGACGTCATATGGTGTCCTCCCATTCTCACCACGCATTCGTGGCTCAGGGAGCACACAGCGCGGCGATCGGCCTCAGACACAGCGGATCACCGATCATGGAAAGAGCCGAGTATGTCGGCTCAGTCATGTGATCAGCTGTGTCCAATCATAGCTGATCACATGTAAACAGGGAAATGCCGGTTATTGGCATTTCTCTCCACACGAGCTGTCACGCTGACAGCTCTTGAGGAGAACCGGTAATCAGCATTCCACAGAGAGGACATGTACACAGATCATCAGGGCACTGATGATCAGTGTGCCCTGATGATCAGTGTAGCCCCAGCAGTGCCACCTGTCAGTGTCCATCAGTGCCTTGTGTCAGTGCTCATCAGTGCCTCGTGCCAGTGCCCATCAGTGCCACATCAATGCCACATATCAGTGCCTACCAGTGCACATCAATGCCACATATCAGTGTCCGTCTGAGCTGCCTTTCAGTGTCACCCATCAGTGCCAATCAGTGCCACCTATCAGTGCTGCCAATCAGTGCCACCTATCAGTGCCAGTCAGTGCCGCCTATCAGTGCACATCAGTGCCGCCTAGCAGTGCCAGTCAGTGTGCCGCCTATCAGTGCCAGTCAGTGCCGCCTATCAGTGCCAGTCAATGCTGCCTATCAGTGCCATATATCAGTGCCATGTATCAGTGCTGCCTTTCAGTGCCCATCAGTGATGCCTGTCAATGCCCATCAGTGCCACCTACCAGTGCCCTCATCAGTGCCCATCAGTGCCACCTATCAGTGTCCATCAGTGCAGCCTATCAGTGCCCACTACTGCAGCCTCATTAGCGCATATCAGTGAAGGAGAAAAATCACTTATTTACAAATTTTAAAACAAAAACTAAGAAAAAAAACGTTTTTTTTTTCCAAAATATTCAGTGTTTTTTGGTTTGTTTAAGAAAAAAATAAAAAACCCAGAGTCATTAAATACCACCAAAATAAAGCTCTATCTGTCACAAAAAAATTATAAAATGTCATATGGGTACAGTGTTGCATGACCGCACAATTGTCATTCAAAGTGTGACAGCGCTGAAAGCTGGAAATTGGCCTGGGCAGGAAAGGGGGGTATAAGTGCCCTGTAGGCTAGCGGTTAATAGCAAAAAGTCAAAAATATTGTTTTTTTCTCAAAATTGTCTGACTTTTTTTAAAGCACAAAAAATAAAAAACGCACAGGCGATCAAATACCACCGAAAGAAAGCTCTATTTGTGAGAAGAAAAGGACATAAATTTCATTTGAGTGCAGTGTAGCATGACCGTGCAGTTATCAGTTAAAGTAATGCAGTGCCGTAACACAAAAAATGGCCTGGTCAGGAAGGGGGGTAAATCCTCTGGAGGGCAAGTGGTTAAAAGTTATTGAAAATATACCAAGTAAAATATCACAAGAATTAAAAAACATGACATAAGATAGAATAAAACAGGAATAAATTGCATGCCTGCTTTTTATTGATTGTTATGTAAAGAAACATCATTAGCAATGTCAAGACTGTAACATGCTACAGTTTGTTAAACAAAACAAAGAAAAAACACATATAACATTAATACCAATGTGATGCAACTGTTCTGTGCACAAAAAAACATAAAAAAGAATGGTTTAAAACTGGGTCACAAATAGAAAAAATACACATAATAAAATCAATATCATAACACAAACAATGGCCATTACTCACAGAGCCGGGGCTTAGTGAAAGTCTGTTTCCACTGCAGAGGTATAAAGCTATATAAGACAAGGCAACATTAAGAATATCTGAAAGTCTCTTTAATCTTCTCAGTTTAGTGCTTGAATGCTTATAAAAGAATAAATATGCCTTTTTTTCTACTCTTTATATATTCTAAGTGGTGTAGCAAGGGGGAAGAAACCCTGTGCTGGAAGTAGGAAAGTTTCACAATCAAAAAACAGCCCAGACATCTAACCCCCCGCACCCCAACCCCCCGGATATTACCTAATCAATAATGCTGATCAGGAAGGAGGAGCAATGTTAATTAAAGCAGTGCACACTGTGGTGTGTAGTCCTCTTTAGAGATGGGTATGAGAAATGGCCCTCCTCAAACAGGATATCATGCTAAACCTGTAAGTAAATAAAGAACCAGAACCTTTGCTAAGTGGAAAAGTGGCTTTGATAATAAATTTGGCATGGCCTCCTCCCAGGATAGGGCCTTCTTGGGAGATTCACCAGTAATCTAATCAAAGTAGTTGGAAGCAGAGGAAGTACTGCACCAGCATATAACATTAAACATAAGTATACAGATGCACACCTGCATAAGAATAATACAAGCTTTATGTAATAAAAGATTAATATTAGTATACATATTCAAGGTAAAAACAGGTAATATCAACAAGGCGCCCTAAAAAAGACATGGTGGAATAGTGCACATATACCCTGGTATATATAGTATAGTTTTTAACAGAGCTACTTCCATATAAACGTTGCAGCAAAGTTCAGTTTCAGGGACCCTGAGGATGATTGCGATGCAGCATTAGTCTTAACCTGAAAACAAGATCAGTAGGGACGAGGAGATCCTCCAGACATTGTTCAACCAGCCTGGAACCAGGGGCAGACTGACCATTTGGAAACTTGGGCACTGCCCGAGGGCCCGGGGTCAGTAGGGGGCCCCATGAGATGCCCCTGGTACCTTTTTTGAGTTTGGGCAAGGACACAGGGGCCCCATGATCCCCTATTGCCCGGGGGCCCCATGAGTTGTCAGTCCGCCCCTGCCTGGAATGTAGCTTTTTGCCTACAGAAACTGTACCATGGAAATGGAACTCAAAGTCAGCCTATCTATTCTGTGTCTTAGTCCCTAGCAGCTTCTAATCTCTCATTCAACTAGACCTTTAACTACCTACTGCCTAACCTGGCTTTAGCCTGTGCTGGTTATTGAGCCCTGAGCTAAAACTAGGTATAGAATCTCAGACTAGAAGGGACAGGGTTAACTGAAATAACAGGAGCTGCATACAAACTCAATTGCAATGAATAGGTTCACCTACTAACATACAGCAAGGTGACCACCAATCACGGAGTATATATTGTACACTGTGTATATGTATATCTATATACAGTATATATATATACTATATTGCCAAAAGTATTGGGACGCCTGCCTTTACACGCACATGGACTTTAATGGCACCCCAGTCTTAGTCCGTAGGGTTCAATATTGAGTTGGCCTACCCTTTGCAGCTTTAACAGCTTCAGCTCTTCTGGGAAGGCTGTCCACAAGTTTTAGGAGTGTGTCTATGGGAATGTTTGACCATTCTTCCAGAAGTGCATTTGTGAGGTCAGGCATTGATGCCGGACGAGAAGGCCTGGCTCGCAGTCTCCACTCTAATTCATCCCAAAGGTGTTCTGTCGGGTTTAGGTCAGGACTCTTTCATCCATGTCTTTATGGACCTTCCTTTTAACCATGGTGTGCAGTCATGGAACAGGAAGAGGCCATCCCCAAACTGTTCCCACCAGGGGCAGACTAACAACTCATGGGGCCCCCAGGCAATAGGGGATCATGGGGCCCCTGTGTCCTTGCCCAACTAAAAAAAGCCTATGAAAAAGGTACCAGGAGCATCTCATGGGGCCCCCTACTGACGCCGGGCCCTCGGGCAGTGCCCAAGTTTCCAAATGGTCAGTCCTCCCCTGGTTCCCACAACGTTGGGAGCATGAAATTGTCCAAAATGTCTTGGTATGCTGATGCCTTAATAGTTTCCTTCACTGGAACAAACATGTCTTTACTGCTCTAGAGTCCAGTGGCAGTGGGCTTTACACCACTGCATCTGACGCTTTGCATTGCACTTGGTGATGTAAGGCTTGGATGCAGCTGCTTGGCCATGGAAACCAATTCCATGAAGCTCTCTATGCACTGTTGTGCAAGTCTGAAGGCCACATGAAGTTTGGAGGTCTTTAGCTATTGACTCTGCAGACAATTGACGACTTCTGTGCACTGTGTGCTTCAGCATACGCTGACCCTGCTCTGTCATTTTACGTAGCCTACCACTTGGTTGCTGAGTTGCTTCCACATTGTTATCATACCACTAACAGGTGACCATGGAATATTTAATAGCAAGGAAATTTCACGGATGGACTTGCACAGCTGGCAACCTATCACCGTACCATGCTTGAATTCACTGAGTGCGATCCATTCTTTCACAAATGTTTGTAGAAGCAGTCTGCATGCCTAGGTGCTTCATTTTATACACCTGTGGCCATGAAGGTGATTGAAACACATGAATCCAATAATTTGGAGGGGTGTCCCAATACTTTTGGCAATATATATATATATATATACTGTATATACACATACACACAACAATAGTAAACTATTAAACATAGAAACACTTGCCTGCTTCTGGCAAAGATTCAGCAGCAGCTCTACCATGGAAAGAACATATGGTCTCAGTCACTTTCCCTCCCTTCACTTCCTTCAGATGTGTCAGACCACATGACAGCTTGTGTGTGAGTGCAGTGGTCCTACATTTCTATGTGTTGGCAGCTCAGGGTTTATTAATCCTTGCTGCAACAGATGACAACATTTTTTTAATGATTCTAATGGCTTATATTTTTTAAAAAAATTTAAGAAAACATGTCTATGTTTACCTGCTGTGTGCAGTGATTTTGCACGGAACAGCCTGGGACCTCCTCTTCTTGGGTCCCCCACAATCTCTCTTGATCCGTCCCTCCTGTCGGGTGTCCCCACAGCAAGCAGCCTGCTATGGGGGCACTAAGGCTATTCACACAAGCAGCTGTGGCTTAGCTCCGCCCCCTCTCTTCTCATTGGCTCACTGGCTGTGATTGACAGCAGTGGGAGCCAATGGCTCTCGCTTCTGGCTCAGCCAATGAGAAGAGGGGGTCCCGGAATAGCTAAGACTCCAGTGCACATTCCTGGATTGAGAGAGGGCTTGGGTGAGTATTGGGGGGGGGGGGGCTGCTGTACAGAGAAGGGTTTTTACCTTCATGCATAGAATGCATGAAGAAAAAAAATCCTTGAACCTTTAGAACCACGTTAAAAAGATTCATGGTTCACACTGCATTTGCAACCTGACTGCACTACAGTAATACATTTAGAGGATTCAATTAGGCTTGAAAGCTTATGCAATGTGCATAATATTGTCATGTTAATGTGCCACCAGTGCGATATACATATATGTTGTGTTTAGTAAAAAGGGTGACTTGTAGTTGAATATTTATGTTTACTCAAAAGTCCTGCTGGAAGATGAAGTCAGCATCCCCATAAAGCTCATCTGTGGAAGGAAGCATGAAGTGCTCCAAAATCTCCTGGTAGACAGCTGCGTTGACCCTGGACTTAATGAAGTCCAACACCAGCAGATGACATGGCTCCCCAAATCACAGACTGTGGAAACTTCACACTGGACTTCAAGCATCTTGCAGTGTGTTCCTCTCCATTCTTCCTCCATACTCTGGGTCCTTGGTTTCCAAATGAGATGCAAAAGATGCTCTCATCAGAATAGGACTTTGGACCACTGAGCAACAGACCAGGTCTGTTTTTCTTTAGCCCAGGTAAGATGCTTCTGACGTTGTTTGTTGTTCAGGAGCGGCTTGGCAAGAGCCATACAACATTTGAAGCCCATGTCCAGGATCTGTCTGTGTGTGGTGGCTTTTGATGCACTGACTCCAGCCTTAGTCCACTCCTTGTGAAAGTCCCCAACACTTTTGAGTGGCCTTTTCCTGACAATCCTCTCCAGGCTGCGGTCATCCCTGCTGCTTGTGCACCCTTTTCTTCCACACTTTTCCCTTCCACGTAACTTTCTATGGGCAGCACAGTGGCTAAATGGTTAGCACTTCCGCCTGGCAGTACAAGGGTTGTTGGTTCGAATCCCAACCATGGTACCTCCTGCCTGGAGTTTGCATGTTCTCCCTGTGTCTGCGTGGGTTTCCCCTGGGTACTCCAGTTTCACTCCAAAGACA